TTATTATTTCAAAACTCATTAAAAAATCAATAATTCACACATTATAAAATAACATATGAATTTTATGGACAATAAAATTAAATATTATGTAATAGTATTTTAGTCATTTTTGGTGTTCAAATTTAAAGTATTTATTTATCTTTTTATGTGATAATATATTATGAATATTCTTCAATTTATATATTTATATATATTAATATTATTAAATTAATTTAAAATTTTATATAAAAAATTACTAAGTACTCGTTTATTTAATTGTAGTTTGAAATTGATTTAAAATGAGATGTTGATTTAGATTTTTTTTTTAAATAGTATTTTAATGTAATATTTTATAAAAAAAATAAATAATATATTTTTATTGAAAATTATAAAAAATAAATACGATAATTTAAGTTTAAAATTGCAACCAAATAAAACATCATGCAAGACCAAATGAAAATGAGTAAACATAAGTTGTACTCCCTCCGTCTCGCTGCAAGGTTGTCATTTGATTTTTGCGTCATTGTACTTGACATTAAAATTATCTTTATATTTGAATAATTTATTTTACAAATATCATTGTATTGGTATTACAAGGGACTAATAAACATATTTTGTCTTTTTTTTTTCTTGATTTGGACTAGGTCTTGATATAATAATTAATATTCAAATATCAATATGCAAAAAGCGAATGACAACCTTGCAGTGGGACGGAGGGAGTATTTGTTTGGAAGTTTTTATTTTTAATATTAAAATTTGAATTTGAATATTGATATCAATCTGGTGCTTGTTAACTTGGTTGTTTTTTTCGTTTTTTGAAATTGTATATATATTATATAACATGAAATTGTATTGTAAAAAATTCAGAGATTTTAGGGTATGTTTAAACATACGTTTTGAGAGTTTGAATTTTAAGAATAAAAAAGATTGGTAATTGATATCATGATATTTTATGAAATCAATAAATATTTAATATTTGATATATTTAAATATATATATATATTATTGATAAATAATAACAAAATCTGTAAAATGTATATAAATTGAGCCAAAATAACCTTTATTCATTCACAGATACGAAGACAATTTACAAATATAAAAATTAAATATTAGTTCGGACGGGATCATACCATTCCACTCCCCGGACCTCGACTCACCCTCCACCCTACCCTTCCAAATCCGGGACCTCACCTCCCTCTCGCATCCCCGACCTAAACCAAAACCTCCATCCCAAATTCCTTAAACGACGCCGTATAGGCCCCTCTGCTCCGCCGTCGTGCATCTTCTCCGTCCGGCGACTCAGCAACGATCATAGAGAAGCAGCAGGCGGCGGGAGCAGAGCACGCAGACATACTTCCGCTCCAATTTCCAGCAAACGCGGAGGAAGCAGAACGTCCGCCGCCGCACCACGTCCACCGCCTCCACCTTGCCGCCGCAGTACGGGCACGCCCCCGGCGCCGCCTTCCGCCCTGCCTCCGCCTCCTCCGCCCCAATAATGCATCCCGATACAACCATTCTCGATCATATATAAATACATATATATATATATACTATATAATCGATTCAATTTCTTTCTGATCTCTCTTCACCTCGTCGATTTCTGCAGAAAACTTCCGGCAGGATTTCGGTTCATTTCCGATGTGTTTATTGCAGTCTTTGGATTCTCCGGCGAGATGTGTTTGTAAAGGTATATAAAAGGGAGGGGATGGGTTTCTGTTGAAGATCCCGTGACCTTTGCGCCTGACGGATCTAAACCGTTGATTGTGTGGGGCCTATTGTCGGAGAGGTTTGATTATTCGGGAGCTGTGAGCCAGGCCCGGGTCCAGCCAGCTATATTGGATTATAAGATCGTGTTTGTGGGACCGTACAGTGACGTTACACGTGGAGACATAGTAGTGAATAATGACATGCTTGTCCTAGCACACTAGGGCGTGTTTGTTTGAAAATTAAATGCTTTTGTTTACATATATACTTTTAAAATTTTTAGAAAAAATACAAATTAGTTAAATAATACTAATAATGATATTTTTACAATAATATGTAAATTTTAAAAATTTTCAATAAATAAATATGTAAGAAATACAATTATTAAAAATAAAATTTGATAGGTTGATTTTAAATAAACCAAATGACAAAATAAATCCATTGATTTTGGATGGAATAAATATTACTTTATAAATATTAATATTTAAAAAATATTGCATTAAATTCTTATTTTCTCTTACAAAATAATATCATTAAATACTCAATCCCTTTTTTAAAATTATTTCCAAAATTTTCTAAAAAGTTGAATACTAGTATATATATTCAAAGAGTATATATATTCTAGTTTTTTAATTATAAAGTAATCATTTAAAAAAATATTTTATTTTAAAGTTATCTTTATATTAATTTTAACTACCTATTACTATTAAAATATTATTAATTTTTTAAATATTGCCCAAAAATAAATATTTACATATAAATTGGAGGGAAAAAATATTTAATAAAAGTACGTAGGATATATAACATGATTATTTTTTAAAGAAAAAACAAATATTATTAATAAATAATATTAAAACTGTAAATATATATGTAAAAAGACTAAAGTTTAAAAGTAAGAATAATAGTTTGAAATAAAATACACCTTTCATTCTATTAATAGGTATACATTTGTTTTATACTCCCTCCATCGCCTAATTGTGTGCTCATTTAATCGGACACAAATTTTTAAAAAATAGATAAAAATATAAACTTTTATTTTTATGGGTAAAGCAAAAGTAACAGTTGTATTTTTTTACTAAAAAAATAAAACGAAAATAAATTTAAATGATAACAAAAAAAAATAAAAATAAATTTGGATGAAAGAGACAGTACTATTTAATTTGATGTTCGGATATTAATATAAATAAATGTGTGTAAGTGTCCCACATTGCTTAGTTGTTGAGAGCTTTCTTTTTTGTTAAACTTTGAAAGATAATTCTACTTATCATTTATTAGTTTTAAGTTAAGAGTTAGGGAACCCTTCTTTATAAAACGAAAGCGTGCTTGTCTGTGGGTTTAGATTTTTTAATTCTAAAAAATTGAATTTGAATGATAGATTTTTAAAAGAAATTTGTAGCATAATATAAAAATAATTGTTTGATTTAATTTTTTTAAAGAAAAAAAATAAAAAATGTAAAAAAAATCTATGGTAAAAAATTTATATAAAAAATGGTCAATTTGATTATATGTATCCAAAGGGGAAGTATAAAATAAAATAAAGAAACGCAGTCGTTTTCCAGTTTTAATTAGCTAGGGTCATTGTCTTCAAGTTTTCATGATGATTAATAATTGAACGTATATATTAATTATAGCAGTATTTTATATATAAATTCTTCCGGGGGAGGGATTACTCATCATAGATTCGAATTTCAGTGAACAAATTATAACATTTGCTGATTTTTTATTAGAATAATGTCATGTCCAAATCCGATTCAATAAATAAAGGTTTGCTGAATTGCCTACTCAATCAATAATGAAAATATGTGGGAAAATTGATTGAGGTTGTTCTTTTTGTGACATTATTTACTATGTACAACTTTTTAAAAAAATATATAAGATATTACGTTAAAATATTATTAAAACAAAAATTTAAATCAATAATTTTAAATCAATTTCAAACCTAACAACCAAACAAACACACTGAGAAGTATTTCAATTTAAATTTATATAATTTCTAACATACTACTAAAATGTATTCAAGTTATACTATAAGAAGTATTTCAATTTAAATTCATACAATTTTTAAAATACTACTAAAAATACACTATGTTTATCATTTAAATTTATAATTACTTCATTTTAGGATTATTTTATAATTTTGTTTAAATCGATTATGTTATTTTCTCTTTTTCTCCAAGTTTTTTTTTTTTTTTTTTTTTTTAAGGTTAAATTGCATAAAATCCACATGTGATTTTATAAAATTGCACCAAATCCCCATACTTCTAAAACTGCGCCAAACTCCCTCATGGTTTTATAAACTTTACATCCAACCCCCTTAGCGGTCCTTATCTAACGGTATTTGACCTAAATGCGCTCAAACTGCGATTAAATTTTAGAATCTTAATTTTAAACCCCTAAAATTATAAATATATTTATTTTTTATATATTTAGTCTAAAAAAATAATAAAAATAAACTCTTAAAACATGAGAAAAATAACTATTTTTTAGTATATTTACTATTTTTTTTAGAGTAAGTATAAAAAAATAAATATATTTGTAATTTTAGGGGTTTTTAAATTGAGATTCTAAAATTTATTTGCAGTTTGAACGCATTTAGGTCAAATACCGTTAAATAAGAATCACTGAAGGGGTTAGACGCAAAGTTTATGAAACCACGAGAAAGTTTGACGCAGTTTTAGAAGTATGGGAGATTTGGTGCAATTTCATAAAACCACGGGTGGATTTTGTGCAATTTAGCTTTTTTTTTAAATAAAAACTCATAACCAATTATTAAAAGAACAACCAATTATTAAAAGAACATACATTTTGTTTTCTAGAACCAAATATTAAAAGAACGTACATTTTGTTTTCTAGTTGTGTTATTCTATTGGAAATGGTTAGAACGCTCATTAGAATTAATTAGCACCCTATCGATATAATCCTAATGAGCATATAAAAATAGTGAATATATGAATTAATTGTGATATGTATATATAATATTTGTTAATGTACTGTATTTATCTTATACAAATATATATTTTTAGTTGTTGATTTATTTAAATGCTCGTATATTCTTTTTACTATCAATATGCTCAAAACTATAAGAATGTTTGAATTGTCAACTTCTACGAATCCTTCAACCCTCTTGGCAAAAGAATCTTTAACTCTTTTGTGGGAGATTTACCGGTGCACACCTTTGGGTTCTCACGTCATAAAAAAAAAAAATAAAAATAAAAATATCTTAACTCTGCCATACGTTCTATGTGTTATGAGCACTATTCTAACTAATTATATGCATGCCTTTCCCAACAAGATGAAGATAGAAATGCCCTAAATGAAAATGAACTAATGTTGTCTCTCATCATGCCAAGTAACATAAGCAACAATTAATCCATATTACAATAACTTCGTTGTTATTATTATTACTACAATTCCTACATGAGCGAAATCTGAAATCCTGCCAAGTATATTTGGTTTGTTTTATTGGATATACAAATTTGAGATTAAATATCATCAAGAAAGGGTTCAAAGCAGTAGCAGCACCAGCAAAAAGGGGAAATTCTTACATCCCCCTACTCCCTAATTACATATTTAAAAAAATAATATTATTATTATTACTATTAAGAATTGAAATATTTAGGCAAAAGCAAAATAATAAGCTGAACCTGGATTTGTGCAAGACTACTACACAGAGCAGAGGCATAAAGTAATCTTTGATCTTCAAATGAACATCATCCATCATTTGCACAGTTTGGCTTTCTCACACATCTTCCCTGTAAGAAACATGTTCCATTTCTGTGCATCATTAATCCAATGCTAGTAGCCGTACCACTTCATCAATGCACACTCGCGAGATGCCGTAATTCAAGTAAGAACACAATTTCGAAAAGAAAGGAGATGAGGAGGAAGGAACAATACCCTCGCGCTGGATCGTTGATCAGGTTTGGCTTTTCTTACTTGGCAACTGATTTTCTTGGACGAGGCTCGCTTGCAGCCTCTTTCCTTATTGACTGTAACGCCTCTGCCTCTGCCTCTGCCTCTGCCTCCGGATTCTTGCTCGGGGAACAAATCTATCTGCGCTAACCTCGCCTGTACAAAAACAATCACATTCTATAACATGAGATTCCGAATCTTAATTTAGAAAGATTTTTCAGTCGAATATAAGACTCCATACATGGACATCACTCCCTGGAAAACCATCGACGAATGGAGAGCCTTTCCCAGCCCATTGGCTTAAAACATTGTTGTGGTTGAGTTTCAACAGCAGCCCTGCTTTTGAATGAGTAGTCGGCTCCTTCACCGTTACAGAGTTGTTATTTTCCGCAGCTTTTCGGGTGATCCTTTTGGTTGTATCAGCCACATTGACGACAGTAGGATACCTCCACCAATCTCCCTCATCGACATTTCTTATTGCCCTCATTTCTCTTCTAATTCCACAGCCAAAATCAATTCCTAAACCGACCCCAACCGGATAGCTGTATAGACTGTTCGTATGAGAACTGCTAGCGCAAATGCTCGGATGGGTGGGGCTGATTTCCATGCTCAATTTCCCCATGATGCTGTCGATTCCTTCCCCAATTTCGTCGTCCAGTATAGACTCTGCATTGAAATCTTCCCTATAGTCATCACAAGCCTCCAACAAATTGTAAACATCAGAACTAATCTCCCTGTTCCCGGGACTTTGGCATGTCTTCTCCAAATGACTCAACCCTTTCCTTTTGGCAGGGACATTTGATCTTTCTCGCGAACATCCCGAGCCATCAAGGAAAGGCATGAGTAAATCCAGGGGTTCCAACAAGTAGGGGGTTGGGAGGTTGGGGAATTTGCAAGGTTTGGAGAGGTGTTTGGTGGGGAACAATTTGGGATAAGCTGTGGAAAGAATTGCTGCAGCTTCATCATAGACTTGATTCGGCCTTTTCCGAGGGGTTCTTGCCTTTCTTGTGGAGATTGAAATAGGGGAATTTCGGGATTCTGACAGAGAAGATGAGTTTGTTGAAGTCCATGAAGCTGTGGGGGATTTGATGATCTCAAGGTCTAATCCGAATGCTCTTCCACTTCCACTCAAGCAAGAAGACATCCTCAGCAGCTATAAACCAATAAACTACAGAGCTAAATCGAAACAAACAGAGGCACACACAATTTCAGGACAGAAAATTTCAGCTCAATTTCGAGTTGACACACAAAACTCAGATAATCTGATAGTTAGAGATTGCTGGATTGGAAAACAAACAGCAAATAGCAATAACAGGGAATTTGAGATGAAAAGGAGGCGAGAGGTAGAAGAACCCTAAACCCTAGAAAGTTCTGTACGAACTATCTAAATACTTGGGGCGATACAAAACAATTGCGAAATCCAAATCCAAATTCTACAATAATAGAATAAAAACACCAAACGCAAAGAAGTCCCCAGATGGAATGAATGATTAAACCCTAAATTGAAACCATCGCCGCACAAACCACACCACAGAGTCTCCAACTGGCAAGAAACTCCCAATAAACTTCAATCTAAATCACATAAGGCTATGAAATAAAATCCAAAACCAGAATTCTTATAGAATATTGTATCTATCACATCGAAAGGGACAGAAATTATATATATAACTGAGGAGGCAGGAGCCCTGGGAAGAAACAGAATCGGAAATGGAAATGGAAGTGGGAGTCGGCGGGGGCGACCAGAGGATGAAGCAAGTAGTCACGGGAGCGGGGGAGGGAAGGAGGATGAGCCTCACCTGGCGAGTGGCGCAGATACGGCCACACGCGTATTGAAATGCCCCATTTTTGTCTCTTAGCTCTGGCCGAGCTTCTCTCTGTAACAAAGAATTGAGAAGACGACGACGACGACAGGGCAAGAGACAAATGGCAGCCCACCTCCGCGCATATATTATTAATTTATTTGTATGTGCAGAAAAAGAATTTAGAACTTAAAGCGTTAAATGTATGGTTAACCTTCTACTCGTGGCTGCTATTTCACTTCAGAGTTTTGAAAGCTATACACACTTTTGAAAATTTGGCATATTTATTAATACTAATTTTGTATAATAAATATCAAATTCAATATATTTTTATTTTTTTTAATAAATTAAAGAAAAAAATATTTCATTCATCCCGGTTTAATAGACTATTTTTACTAATTATACAATCTCTATAAGATAACGATGTATAATTAGTTAATAATAATACGATATTCTTTTATTCTTTTATGTAGTTAATAATATTAGTAATTTTAAAATAAATTTAATATATATATAATTAAAAAAATTTAGAATATATATTTAAATATTTTAAAAGTATAGAATAATAAAAAATATATGCAATATGAATATTATTTCATAATAAATAAAATTTTTTATAATATATATTAATAATAAAATACTTTTGTTTTTTTTATAATTAATATAAATAAATTTTATAAAAGATGTTGAGTTAAATATAAATAAAAAAAAAAAAATTGTTTTAAAACAAAATAAATTCTTTAGATTTCTTTATACAGGTTTTTTTAAAAATTTTTAGCACATTCATCTATAATATTTTTTAAAAGTATCATATCAAATACTCCCTCTATCATTCAAATTTATGCTTATTTTTCTTTTTTGATTGTCATCAAAAAATATTCTCATTTAATCATTCCATTTTTGTACTGTTTTTTTACTATAAAAAGAAAAATTAACAATTATTACTTACTTTTATTAAAATTCATGTCCAGTCAAAGAGCACACATTTGCATAACGAATGAAGTATATTTTTTCTTTCATATTAAATATTACTGTAATATTTTACCATATTACACTAAACAAACAAATTAGAAATCCTGTGCCGAAATCAAAATATTTTTCCCCCCGTCCTATATAATATGGATGTATAATTATAAATGTGAGAACTTACATAAAGTATAATAGGTAATTAAGAAATGTATTAATAAAAATAATTATATATTAAGATTAAAATAACTAAATAGTTTAATTAAAATTTAAAAAATTCTAAATTTTAAAATTTAAAATGTAATTAAAATGTATAATTATATTTCCAAAAAAAATGACAAATTATGTGGGACGGACGAAAATAGAAAATATGAACAAATTGTTGGAAAAGATGAAGTACTTTTTACAGTATATTTGTAATTTATGTAAAATTAAAAATATTTTAATATTGATATAGAAATTAATTACTTTATTCGTCCCTTTGAAATGTTGTCATTTTCTATTTTCGTCTGTCCCCGACAATATTCTTAATTTAGTAATTGTACTTTCTACATAACATAATAAATACTCTTTACAATATATTACACAAATCATTACTTTTATATTACACAATATTAATAGGGGTATTTTTTATTTTTTTATTACAATCCAATATAATACTAATATTAAAATATCTACGTACAAAAGGTAAACGTCACTTTTTTAATGGGACGGAAGGAGAATATAATAATAAAAAAATATATGAATTTATATGAGATATACGAAAATGACAATTTATATATATGGTTGTCCATCCAATTCCTGTCACAATTTTCTATAAATACCATAAAAAATACAATATATGTAAATATTAATATAATATACTCCTTCCGTCCCGACACAATTGACTTGATTAATGCGTTGTATTTAAGAAAAATATAATTTAATAAGTTAATTATATTATTTTATTATTTTTAGTTGAGTGGTGATTTTTATATTTTAAAATAAAAATTAATATATATGATAAATATTTTAAAATATATATTTAAATATTTTAAATATTATATCTTAATAAAATAAATACAGTATAAATATTATTTGATAGGAAATAAAATTTTATAAATATAATTATATATAAAAAATATTTTATGTATTTATGATTAATATAAATTATTTGTTTTAAAAAAAATAGAGAATTATAAACATAAATAAAAATATTTGTTTATTGATGAGAAAAATATAAATAAAAAATTTTAAATGAAATTGAATAAAGATAGAAATAAAATAAATGTACCCTACACGAGAATCAAATTTTTATTAAATTGTTTAATATATTATAATATTTTTAATATTAGAACTTTAATATTAAATATTGGCATAATGCATAATTAAAAGAATAAATTTATAAATCTATTATTCTACAATTCCATAACAACTATTCATGGCATAAAATCTTTAGCATTTCGAATTGCCACATCACTTGGAAATATTATCCATAGAGATAGTAAATATTTTATGTTTTATTATTCAGTCATCCGTATTCTTTATAAGTCCATTATAGATATCAACATCTTAAAAATGTCAATAAACATATATAAACATACAGTATTGTTAGTATCTATGATAATATATATATATATATATAATTAAGTAATTATTATATTAACTGTACGTGGAGAAAGGAGAGACAAAAAACTAAAAAGTTATTTTGGAGTTGTCAATATAAATTGAGAAAATAGTCGGTAATACACATGTAATAAATCTTTCGTATTTTTTACTTCTAAATGTTTATAGCAAGGAATTCGGAAGCTAGTAGATGATCCATCATTAGTGAAATTTTATTGACAATTTTCAACATCAAATGCAACATTTTAATCTCTATTTCATAAACATTAATAATATATTTTTTTGTCATCGTATTATAATTTTTTTGAAATTGTGGTTGATTAATATTTAGCATGTAAGTAAAATTGTAGTTTTCCACAATGTTAAATAGTCGTTCATTCATCAAAATCCAATTGGCAAATCATATCTAGCATCTGACAATTGATTTATTTTAATGTTGGATTGAACAGGTTGGAGTTGCAAAGTCTTTTGTTTTTCATTATAAAATTTCTTTTGCAAGTACATTTTCAAGTGATTTCAAAATAAGATGTTGTACCTGATGATGATCTAGCCGAAGAAGTCTATGTATACATTGAAATAGCGGCAAAATGAGATGTTTAAAATTGGCTAATTGGGATTTCTAGGGTGTGATTGTTTTGTAAAATGGTTCGAAGAGGTTTTTTTTTTTTAATGTGAACTTAAAATATTGTATAGATAATATAAAATTGGTTCGGAAAAAAAAAAAAAAAAAAAAACCCTAGTTTCTACGTAGAATTGGTTAGAATTTAACAATTTAGATCTAGTTTAGATTTACTTTTGGCATGAGTTTTTTACTTTTACTTCTAAGAAATTATTTTTTTTACTTGTTTACATTGATTTCTATTCAAAAGCAAAAACAGTTTTTGGGGCTAAAAGTGTTTATTTGAAAGGGCAACTTTCACGTAACTCTCTGATTCTATGTTTATATTCTTATTTACTCCATATACATTAATTTTATCTTCTTTACTCTCTATTTTCACAGATCTATTCTTTTTTACTCTCTATTCGAGTAAAAACTTTATAGTACCATTATTTAATTTCTTTATATATATTTTTTTTTACCTACACTACAAAGTACTACTTTTTAAATTTTATTTATACTTTTTATTCATTTAAATATAAAATAAAAGATTACAACAAAAAAAAAATATATAATTGACAAGAAAATAATAATATAAGTATGAGTAATATAATAAACAAAGTGAAAATAATAATTTTTTATTTGAAAAAATATTTTTCTATTATAAAAATTAATGTATTATAGCAAATATTATTAAGTCATAAATAAATTGATTCTATATATATATAAAAAATTATTTATATAAAATAAATAAATTTGTTCTATAGATAAACAAATAATATAATTAAATATTATTTACCCAAGGGTTTTGGGTTATATTTGATGGATAAAACTATGAATAAAAAATTATTTAGAAGGTGATATAAATTGTGTAATAATTACAAATAGGGAGTGATGTAGTATAAATAGGGAGCTAAATAGAAAAATTATATAAATAGGAATTGATAAGAAAAATGATTTAGAAATTGAGGATTTTAGGAGAATTAATATAATATAATATACATAATAATTAATTTATATATTATATATTAATAAAAAAATATAATTATATTATTATTTTAAATTTATATGTTATATTTGAGTTAAATTTTATAATTATAATTGAAATATGAGTATATAAAAATTTTACTAAAATTACTAAATATACTTTATAAAAATTTTAAAATAAATTACAAAATACGAATAATTTAATATTAATTTGTAATTTATTTTTTAATTATATATTATTCTTAAATTAAAATTTTGAAGTATAAATAACAAAAATTTAAAACTATTTTTTATACTTTAATTTAAAATCTTTAAATATAATTAATAAATTTTAAAAATAAATCGTATAGAAAAATACAATTCAATTAAAAATATGTCATTTTGAATAATTTTAACAGCTTAAAAGCATCAATATATAATAATTTATTCAAATACAAAATTAAAATACTTTTTTATTTCTATTTATTTTCTTAAGTCAATCCAAACGACAGTTATAAACAGTTACATGTTTTGAATTTATTATTTTTAAAAATTATATTTGTATATTTATTTATATAACATTAAATTGTAATATTAACATTTTTTTAATTGAATATATCACTTTACAATCGATATAAAATATGTTAATATATTATTTTGTAATTTTAGTTTATTCATATTAGTTATATATTTTTTTAAATAATATTACTTTTTAAAATTAATTTTATTTAATTAATCTAAAATAATAGTAATATTTAAAAATATATATGATATACATAATTAAAAATATGGTAAATTGATTTTTTTTGTCTTGGGATTGGATTTTTTTATCATTTTAGTTTCGTAAGTGCAAAATTTTTGTATTTTTAGTCATTCGGTGCCAGAGATGCCTCCATGGCACCTGTCTGGCTCGCCGGAGGACACGTGTCCACCAACTCAGTAACACTTGGCGGACACGTAGATATTTATTATTTTTTAAAAATATATATATTTTTTTTAAAAAAAAAAACTTT